ACATTCACCTCCTCCGCTACCGAATAAGAGAGCTGGCCGCACACGGCTTCCCAGTAACACTCCAGCAGCAGGAAGAGCAAATACATCCGCACAGGGCTCCATCTGGCCAACGCGCTCATCATTCCAAAATTCACATAAAGCAGAAGGTAAAAATGGTGCAAAAAATGTCAGCTTCAACACCCGATAAGAAGAAAAAATGTGAACAAACTGTGCTAATTCTTTCGGGAAGCGATCCCTGCCGCATCGGCCCCTATCACTGTCTGAGTTTCTTTGTTCTGTTGACGAAATCATCAGGCACTTTTGGGAGGAGCCCAGCCCTGTGACGAGTGAGCTCAAATGCCACGGTCCACGGTGTCCTCTAGTGGACGTTTGGGCGAACTACAACCAATATCACTCAGCATGAAGACCGGTATCAATGAAGTGCAGAAGAAATACTGTATTTAACACTTCATAAAAACGGAAAGTACACCGTTTTTTAGATGATTTTCCATCATGTCCATTGTATCCAGATACAAACAATGTCACGATCCAGAAACAACCAGATAAGTCGCTGACATGCTCTCTTTAAAACAAACAACAAAGGCAGTCGTTTTCCACAGTAACCTCCACGCCCACTACATCTGTGATGGAGGTGTCACGCTACAATAATGAAAGCAAACGAAGTTATGATATTTAAATGGACACATTCAAGAAGCCGTTAATCATTTCAATCACATTTAGTTCATACAACTCGTTCTTTCAGAATGGCCTAAACATTTGTCCAGGACCATAGACAGCGTCTTACAAAACACGACATCAGAGCTCATTATAAGAAAAAAAAAACAACCCAACAAAAAACTTGAATACGATCCAGGGTATGTAAACACGTGAAGTAAAATGGCAGCTCAAATGCCCCTGCCTCTCATACTAAACATCTCACTATTCTATTTACAATGTCATTGTAACACAACAAACATATCTTAGAATATATTGAAAGTAAACTACTGCACTCTTTTTCAAAGCATGGGACAGCTTTATAAAAAATAGTATGGAATTCTATGAAACCATCATTAACACGTCATAAGTGGAATTTGAAGCAAGTTAATTCCGATGGTTGCGTCAAATCAAGCTTCTGAGATTGTTTTTGCACACAAAACAATTAACATAAAATTAGCAACATTTTATAACAACAATATTTTCTCCCCTTGAATTTATTACATGGAAGTGGAGAGTTATCTTAACACTATATTCGAGTGAACGTACTTCTGAGGCCTTTTTTTTTAAAATTACCAGAAGCAGAACAATGGAAAGCAAGCCTCACAATGTTGGACAGCAGTGATGGCGATTCGGTAAAAAGAAATAAATAAATCATATGTGGAGATGACTGTGTGTGTGAGACATTGTACATTTTAACAAGTACAAACATTTTAAGAAAGAGCTACACCCCTTCCGGTTGTTGACAGATTAAAATGTTAAATCCTCATCATTACTCTTACCATGTCAATGTTCCACAACACAAATGGACAACAAACCGTAATCAAGCCACTTCACTGTTCTTCCTTACCAAAGACAATATTGCAGAATGGGTAATGTGTTGTTTTGACTACAAATATGTCAGCAGTCACAGGAGCTAGTGATAGTAAACCAGATTGACTAAAAAAAAGTAAATAATTACAATTTTGGGTGCTTTCACTGCTAAAAAGTACATTTCGAAACACAATTTTGTGCTTCATAATAGTCAAGCTTTTGGCTACATTCAAATGCGTAAAACATCAATATCATACTGGTCAGACAAAGAAAACCAAAGACATGAATCCTACCTTCTCAGAGGTGGGTAAAGTTTGAGTCCTGGTAAAGGTGTCTCCTCCATTAATACTGATCAGTTCTGCTTCTACAGGCGGAAAGGGCCCAGGGAAAACTACTACGTCGCTTTTGAGTGTGTCTGAGCTGAAGCACACGTCGTACTGCTGTGTCGCTTTGGAGTAAGACCAGCTCCCGTCAGGGAAGGTAAAAATGGTGCAAAAACTGTAAGCTTCTCCACCTGATAAGAAGAAAAAAATGTGAACAAACTGTGCTAATTCTTTCGGGAAACGATCCCTGCCGCATCGGCCCCTATCACCGTCTGAGTTTCTTTGTTCTGTTGACGAAATCATCAGGCACGTTTGGGAGGAGCCCAGCCCTGTGACGGAGTGAGCTCAAATGCCACGGTCCACGGTGTCCTCTAGTGGACGTTTGGGCGAACTACAACCAATATCACTCAGCATGAAGACCGGTATCAATGAAGTGCAGAAGAAATGGTTAACACTTCATAAAAACGGAAAGTACACCGTTTTTAGATGATTTTCAATCATGTCCGTTGTATCCAGATACAAACTTAAATGTCATGATTCAGAAACAACCAGATAAGTCGCTGACATGCTCTCTTTAAAACAAACAACAAAGGCAGTCGTTTTCCACAGTAACCTCCACGCCCACTACATCTGTGATGGAGGTGTCACGCTACAATAATGAAAGCAAACGAAGTTATGATATTTAAATGGACACATTCAAGAAGCCGTTAATGATTTCAATCATATTTAGTTCAGACAACTCGTTCATTCAGAACGGCCTAAAAATTGTCCAGGACCATGGACAGCGTCTCACAAAACACGACGGAAGAACTCATTCGAAGAAAAAAACAACCCAAAAAAAAAAAAAAACGTGAATACGATCCAGGGTATGTAAACAAGTGAAGTAAAATGGCAGCTCAAATGTCCCTGCCTCCTGTACTAAACATCTCACTATTCTATTTACAATGTCATTGTAACACAACAAACATATATCTTACAATATATAGAAAATAAACTACGCCACTCTTTTTCAAAGCATGGGACAGCTTTATAAAAAATAGTATGGAATTCTATGAAACCATCATTAACACGTCATAAGTGGAATTTGAAGCAAGTTAATTCCGATGGTTGCGTCAAATCAAGCTTCTGAGATTGTTTTTGCACACAAAACAATTAACATAAAATTAGCAACATTTTATAACAACAATATTTTCTCCCCTTGAATTTATTACATGGAAGTGGAGAGTTATCTTAACACTATATTCGAGTGAACGTACTTCTGAGGCCTTTTTTTTTAAAATTACCAGAAGCAGAACAATGGAAAGCAAGCCTCACAATGTTGGACAGCAGTGATGGCGATTCGGTAAAAAGAAATAAATAAATCATATGTGGAGATGACTGTGTGTGTGAGACATTGTACATTTTAACAAGTACAAACATTTTAAGAAAGAGCTACACCCCTTCCGGTTGTTGACAGATTAAAATGTTAAATCCTCATCATTACTCTTACCATGTCAATGTTCCACAACACAAATGGACAACAAACCGTAATCAAGCCACTTCACTGTTCTTCCTTACCAAAGACAATATTGCAGAATGGGTAATGTGTTGTTTTGACTACAAATATGTCAGCAGTCACAGGAGCTAGTGATAGTAAACCAGATTGACTAAAAAAAAGTAAATAATTACAATTTTGGGTGCTTTCACTGCTAAAAAGTACATTTCGAAACACAATTTTGTGCTTCATAATAGTCAAGCTTTTGGCTACATTCAAATGCGTAAAACATCAATATCATACTGGTCAGACAAAGAAAACCAAAGACATGAATCCTACCTTCTCAGAGGTGGGTAAAGTTTGAGTCCTGGTAAAGGTGTCTCCTCCATTAATACTGATCAGTTCTGCTTCTACAGGCGGAAAGGGCCCAGGGAAAACTACTACGTCGCTTTTGAGTGTGTCTGAGCTGAAGCACACGTCGTACTGCTGTGTCGCTTTGGAGTAAGACCAGCTCCCGTCAGGGTGGGTGGTGATCATCGGGGCGCTGTACCTGTCGAAGGGGCCGTCTGTCTGTCTGTGGCATTTGAAGGCTACTAAAGTGATGAGGCTCAGCAGAAAGATGAGCGACACGGCCACAACGGCGATGAGCAGATACAAGTGCAAGGCGGAGAAGCTCTCCTCCTTGCTGGGCACATGTCTGAACGGAGTGTGGATGTCAGCTGTGCTTTCGAGCACCACCACGTCAATCGACACAGTTGCTGACAGGGACGCCTCTCCGTGATCACAGACCGACACCACCAAGGGGTGACTTTTCAGGTCATTGTCACTCATTCGCCTTTTGGTCCGAATCTCCCCGGTGCTGGTTCCGATCCGGAAGAGGTTGTTGTTGCCTTTGGGCTCAGACAGGTGATAGGAGAGCAGTGCATTGTATCCAGAGTCTGCATCCACTGCCCTGATCTTTGCCACAAAGTATCCCGCTTC